AAATACAGATAACTAGCCTGACTACGTCAGGCTAGTTATCTGTATTTTAGTTCTGAGTATTTTTGTATTTCTGCCTCAGTTGCCTATTAAGACTCAACTCTGCCTCCTGATCTCTGCCTTTGGGTCCTCAAAAACCTCATCCAAACGTGACAGGTGTGGATATATACAAATGTTTGGAGCAAAGAAACACAGTCTAATTAACTTATAACAGCTTTGTCTCCATTGATTGTCTTTGTCTAACCAATTAAATGCTTAAAGCTCAAAGCTGTTTCCTACCTGCAGATGTAGTTGGTCTTGCAGGTCTCCTGGAGTTCCAGACAGTTTGGCTTCTGCTTTTCCTCATAAGAGCAGACAGGAACGATGGTTTGACGCCTGCGTTCAGAGCACGCCGTCTGGTCACTGACGGGGCATGAGCAGAACAGCATGCCATAGCTGTGCTTCGGAGGAACCTGTGGAACAAAAAACAATTGAAGTTGAATTTTCAATTATGTTTGTCTAATTGCTATTTTCACTTTCCATGTGGTTTAATATTTAGTATCCATCTCTTTCAGGAAGGGATACACTGCTATGATATTCTGTCTCACTGCACAGTATGTGTCTCATAGTGTTACTTGTTAATACAAGGCCACATTCACCCCTATTCAATTCAATTATACTTTATGTAATTTATTAATTAAGGGAAATGTAGTTTCTCATAGAGCAGTGTTTCCCAACCTGGGGTACTCGTACCGCTAGTGGTCCTGAGAGTGCATTGAAAGGAGTACATCAAAATATTTTATTTCTTAGTAAAAGAAATAAAGTAGTAAGATAAAATAGAGCTGGGCTCAGTTTGGCTTTGTGAGGAACCATTTTAAAAATTAAACAAGCTTTTATCAACAAGTAAGTTTTTCTTATATGTTTGAGTTCATCAAACCAAGCAGAGGAACAGACTGGATGTAGAGAACAGCCTGCTATCACCTCTTTTTAGCACCTAGCTATCGGAGCTCATCAAAAGAAGCTCAGGTGTCTGGATGAAAACAAAGTAAA